ATTTCCCCTATCCCATCCTCACCACCTTCTACAAAAGCACCATAGAGAGCGTTCTGACCAGCTGTCTCACTGTGTGGTGTGGAGGCTGCAGCGCCTCAGACTGGAAGAAAGTGAGAAGAATAGTAAGAACAGAGGAGAAGATCATCGGGGCTCCTCTTCCCTCCATTAAAGACATTTCATCCCAGCGCTGCGTGTCCCGAGCCCGTAACATCATAAATGACCCCTCACACCCCCACCATGGATTGTTCTCACTGCTGCCCTCTGGGAAGAGGATTCCATAACACTTTCTTCCACACTGCCATTAGACTGCTGAATGTTGTGTAAAATTTGTTATTTTATTTATAAAAAAAAACAAACAAAAAAACTGTTAGAACTGTAAATATACAGTCATATGTTTATATAACTATTTTTTTTTATGTATTTATTACTGTTTTCAAGGCTGCACTTTAAAAAAAGAAATTGTCTAGAGCTGTTTTAAACTAAATTTCTTTTTGTTTACACTCCTGTATACAAAATGAAAAAAATAAATCTGTCTTATGTCTAACATAAAGGAGGTTTCTGGTAATTTCGAACACCCCAACACTGTGGGGAGTTCTAAAGCTTTCCACTTACCTTGGGTTGAGGAAAGAAGATAAAGATGCATTGACATAGTGTACCTATGATGTTGTTAAAGTCTGCAAAGCAAAAAAATGCCCATTCTTTACAAAAAAAAAACATTTCATGAGATATAACCTAAAGCCTTAATTAGAGTGCAATATGATGATTCACTGATGTCTTCTATTCAGCCATTCTGGGCTGAGTAGCATGGGAATGGACTTACCGTAAGATGATTCATCTTTCAGTTAAACATTGTCTGTGTGCATACAGTATATAGGGGTGAAAAGATTAAATGTGGATTACTTGTCTCACATTGATCCTTTTGCTTGAGTTTAAATACATTCAGTGCAAAATAATGTGGTATAAAAAAATCTTATTGACAAAAACCCACAAAAAAGAGTAATTAAATCTTTAAATAGACTTTATTTTATCATTCAGCAGACAGTTTTGACAAAACCGCAACCACCAGAAATATACAAATCAATTATTAGATTTTCCACTTAAATGTATTTAAATCTTTTGCTTTTTAAAAAACAGATAACTGTTTGGTTTTTTTGCTTGAAAATTGCACAAATACTGTACATTTTCCTGTTTTCCAGTCCTGTCATTTAAATTATAGCACCTCGAAAACTGTGAAAGAAGTGCTAGACGTTTTAAAAGTTAAAGTCAGAGCTATCCAAAAAATGAAACATGGTAAAAAAAATAAATAAATAAAAAAATAAGATAAATGTTTAAATCCAGAAAAAAAAAGTTGAATTTATGATTGGTTATAATACTTAAATGAAAACTTGCTTTAGTTTTAGGGTCCTCCCAATGTGAAAGAGACAAACTCTTCTGTTGAAATTTGTGATCCCAGCTGTTATACAGTAGCTGTGCTGCCTCCAAGCGTTAAATAAAACAAATGATGGTTTTCTTCAATTAATCACACAACTGTATCGTCTGCAGTGACACAAAAACACCCCCCCTTGTCAGTTAATCCATAAATTGTCAACAGCACATATGGATGCACTATGTGTCCATATGTTTCATGCACTTATGGTTTCGCTCATGCTCAGTGGTTCCACACACCTGCTCATACATCTAACATTTCTTTTAGTTTTATGCTTTTAAGTGCCATGTTGAAGCCAGTGAGTGCTTTCTATATGGGGAAAGAGTTTTTTGAAAAAGTCAGGTTATTTTTGCTTTTTATATACAGCTGGTATAGCCACTTATCTATTCATAATTTCTAACTGTTAAAACTTCACAACTGTGAAACTCCATCTTTGTGCATAATTCCACTGCTAATCCAAAGACTTTTGATTATGAATTTTAAATAATTTAACCCATAAGCATTTGTGTCCTGTTAGCATGCATTAAAGCGACATGTTTAGGGGGTTTCAGTTAAATAGTTGTTACCTTCTAGAATAAATCCCAACATTTTTATAGCAACAGCCCTTTTCTTGGATATCTTGTTTTAAAAAATATCTGTTCAACAATTTACAGTTTATATATGACCAACCCCAATATCTTTCTTACTTCCATAAAATACAGGCTTCCTGAAGCCCATCTTGCTTTACTTCCTTCATTTGCATGATAAAATGACTCATGTAAGACAAAAAAAAAACAAAAACATAATTTTTGGCCTGAAACAATTAATCGGATTAATCAATTATTGAAATAATAATTAATTAATTGAAATAAACATCTCATTTAGTAATTGATTAATCGAGACTCTAAAACATTTCTTTAGCTGACAGAATGACCCACCTTAAGCAGCTGTTATGTCTAAATTGTAAAACAAATCTGTAAACGTTTTACATTTAAGAAATATTATTCGTCCGTCAAAATGCTCTATCCAGAACTCCTCAAGTGGAAAATTTTTTATTTCACCTGGTTTAATTTAGTAAAAAATCTTCTTTAAGGAACCTTTTGGTATCTGATTATTGAGCGATTAATTGAAAAAATATTCAACAGATTTGACAATGGATAGCTAATGAAAGGAGCAGCAATTCATAAAAAGTATCAGCCATGCAGGAAAAGAAGTAAATACAAAAATATTGGCTGGCCAATGGATCGGTCTGCCTCTAATAAGGACTACCAACAGATTTAGATCATTATTGTTTGGAGGAGCTGTCTCCAGAATGTTAGCTGACTGAATTGGACATGAAGTACGTTCAAAAGTATCAACAGAAATGTATTAGTCACCTCTATTTGTCTTTTATGTAATGTGCTCCAATAGCATGTGCCTCTGACATAAACAGATCTATATGTCTGTCTGTCAGCTGTATCACAGAGCATATAATCTCAGCCAGCTCTCGGGGTATGAAATAGTGCAACAGCTCAGGAGGTGTCCTTTGAAGTGATGCTGTGACACACTGGCCACCGCAATAATTAGTGCCATGAGCAAATGCTGCTTTATTAATGATCTGAAAGGCCTGTGTTAGAAAGTAGGAAGGGTTTAGCATTGGTTGGGTCGCTGCTTATAGGATCTAGTTATGACTTTCATCCAAAACGGTTACAGAGCAAACTTCCTTTGACAACTTTATTGTTTATTTATATTTTTTGCTTCTCAGCAGAGATTCCTTAAATATTTTCGAGTCTTTTTTTAACAGATGTTTTCAGGTTTAGTCCCTCAAACTAACTGGCTGGTAGACTAGAAATTATTCATCTAGAAGTTTTCTTTAGAGTTAAACCTTCAAGAGGGTGTCAGATAGAGCAAATGAGAGGCAATACTACTCAATTATAAGATTTTTTATTACTATAAAATGTTAAAAAATAAATGATGGTGCACGTTTTTGTTATTTATTTTAGTTTTAGAATATGTAATACATATATATATATATATTAAATCTAAAAGTGCAGTCGTCATGAACGGGTTCTAAGTCCAAACTCACTCCACCCCTTTCTGCACACCCGACTATCAGAAGCTAAGTTTTAATTGCCTGGACTGAATCTGTATTCATGTTTTTTGAAGTTAAATGTATTTGTTTAAAAATTGTTTTCACTAAATTCTAACTCAGTTTAATGTTTTGATAAATTTCATTTGAAAATGTATTTTGTTGTATCCACCCATCCATTATCTGACACGCTTTATCCCAAGTGGGGTCGTGAGGGGTGCTGGTGCCTATCTCCAGCTGTCTATGGGCGAGAGGTGGGGTACACCCTGGACAGGTCGCCAGTCCACCGCAGGGCAACACAGAGACAAACAACCATTGACACACACACTCACGCCTAAGGAGAATTTAGAGAAGCCAATTAACCTAACAGTCATGTTTTTCGACTGTGGGAGGAAGCCAGAGTCACCAGAGAGAATCCATGCATGCTCAGGGAGAACATGCAAACTCCATGCAGAAAGACCCAGGGCCGAGATTCAAACCCAGAACCTTCTTGCTGCAAGACAGCAGTGCTACCCACTGCACCACTGAGCAGCCCATTTTGTTGTACTGTAACTTAAATTTTAACTTTTTATTCTTAGTGCTTTCATTTGATTTTAATTAAAATTTCTGTTTTTATGTCTGAAAACCAGGTCCTTAAGCTGGAGAATAATCAAGCCAAGATTTCTCTCTAGGTCTAGTTAAACCTGCATAGGTGTTTTTCCCAACAGTCATTAAATGATTGTATGCCTTAAATGTTTTGCTGATACAGTGTATTCAGGCTATAGGCAGGATGCAATATACATTCCAAATAACATTAAACACCCTCATTTGTTGGGAAATTTACAAAATATTTTGACTTGTCATTTGATAATTGTGGGCCCTTAATTTAACAGCTTAAATTACATGCAATTCTTAACAATATAGATCTCTGTTTCAAAAATCAAATAAATATTATTGCATTCACTGAGTTCTTTTTATGTTCAAAACAAAATTTAGTACATTTTGGTGGAATTAAGTTTCAGTCTTATTACAACTTTTGTGTATTTAACACATACAAATTACAAATTTGCAAAAACAGGATCAATGCCAATAGCATAGTTTCTGCTTTGTTTAAATCTTTATTCAGGTATCTGAAATGTCCATCAAATCATTGTCTTTTGTTGTTAAATGTTTTGTGAATCATAGAAAAAGAACCAATTATGAGCTCTAGAAATGTCCTTCTACTTGTTTGGCAAGCACAGCTTGTACCTGAATCCTCAGATCCCAGCAGTCGTGATCATAAAGTGTAAACTTGTTAGTCATCGTCTCTTCCTCTCACCCATCCTCAACACCCTCCCAAGGCCATCTCCCTCCCTGCAAGGTTTTGATTTTCAATAAACCTTGCAGAGAAGAAACTGAATATGAAAAAATGCTACTTCAATGTGTGGGCTACATGAATTGCACATTAACAATTTATCTCTTCTGCTTTTTCTCACCACCATCTTTCCACTCCTTTTCTCACTCTTTGATCTGTCTTCATCTGGTTCTGCTCCCCATGATCCTCTCTCCATGCAGGGGATGAAGTGGTTTAGCATCATGTCCCTCAGCACCAAAAGGAGTAAGAGGAGGAGTAGAAGGAGCAGCAGTTATGGCAGCGGAGGCAAAAGTGTGCTGCTCTCCCTGGCTCTTCTAGTGGCGGTGACAGTCATGGCAGACCCAGTGGCAGCCCAGAAGCAACGTACTGGTGGTGGCTCAGAGAAAGTGCCAGTACTTAACATTGCTGTTATCCTCGGGCGCACGCGCTACATTTCAGACCGGGACATACGTGCTCTGTGGAGCAAAGAGGACCCTATCGATGTGAATGTGGTCACACTACTTGTCAACGAGACTGACCCCAAAAGCATCATCACCCACATGTGCGACTTGATGTCAGGGACAAAGATCCATGGCGTGGTATTCGGGGATGGCACTGACCAAGAGGCCATTGCCCAGATTTTGGATTTTATTTCATCACAGACACTCATACCCATTTTGGGCATCCATGGAGGGTCTTCCATGATCATGGCTGACAAGGTATGTGGCACTAACTAGATTTAGAAATGTGTTAGTGAATGTTTAGACCGACACTCAAACAATGTTATGCAGTAATGGATGAATGAAGGAATGTTTTGTGTTGCTTGTATGGGACTGATTTGAAGAAATGTTTTCCTTTTTATATTTTAATGTTGGGTAGCAGAGACCTCTTTCAAACTGAGGAGACAATTTTGGGTTATTTGTGACTCAAATACAAATGCAATTTTACCTAGGGTATAAGAGAGAGAAAAGAACAAATAACATTGTGACAGATGGAAATAATATGAAGCATGGAAACAGAATAGGTCAGGATAAAGGAAAGCTTTGGGGGAATTGTTTTGGAGACAAGCAAAGATTTAACTGGTGGACAAAATCAAGAAAAGAAAATAATGTCTCAGAAAAAGTATGCAAATAAAGTGTTGTATTCTGGCTAATGCCAGCTACATAGTCCATTGAGACTAATATCATAAATTCCACTTTAACCATGCAAGGTTCCCTTCAGTACAGATGAAAGAAGCTTGATTGGTCTCCTCATTTGAATAAGCAATCCTTGCTGACCTGCCAATCAAGTTGAATCTAAAAATGGAAAAGACCAAGCAGCCTATGATTGTGGGAATTCATGTGTGAGGGAAGAGAACATTTATTTCATATTTACAATGAACCTATATTTAAATGTATTTTTACCAGAAGATCAAAAGGAGATTTCTTCCAGAGATGGCTAGATAACTGTAAAATTGTGTGTAATATTATATTTCCAATTGATAATCAATAAACAAATGTGCATAATGTGTTAAAAACCCTTGGAGACTTAATTTAAATAAACCTGAGGATCTTTGAGAGCTTAAAATTCTAAGTATCAAAGGAGAAATCTGGTGGATTAATTAATTAGTGAGCTTAACCCTTTCATTCTACTGTACTTGTAACCCTTAGTAAACCTTCCATCTTTTCCTACTTATCCATCTCCAGCAGTCTGTGGGTGAAAGACAGAGTACACAGTGGACAGGTTGCCATTCTGTGACAGGGCAACACAGAGACACGCAACCACTTAAGGGAAACTTGAAGGATGTCAGTTTATCTAATTATTAAACAGCCATATTTTTAGACTGTGGAAGGAAGCTGGAGTACCCGGAGAATACCCACGGATGTGCAAGAACAACATAGAAACTCCTAGGCCACGATTTGAACCCAGCACCTTATTGCTGCAAGGGAACAGTGCTACAAATGGCGCCACCATGGAACCCTGTATGACTTTAATAGTATGTTTCTCAATACCTACACATCACAGTATTTAATTTACTTTGGTTCTGATCCATATTTGAAACAGTGGAATTCTTTGCAATATGACAGTGTCATCCCTAATCAAACCAAAATCATTCAACTTTGATCATTTGCAAGTAGACACTGAAGAAATAAACAAATAAAACCTTTTAATGGGTATACTTAGCCTTAAAAGTGAGGAAAATAGTGTAGTCATCATAACCATAACCAGTCAACTTACTGGCACTGTGTACAGGAACATTACTGTATGCTCTGTAGAGATACTCACTGACAGATTCTCATCCATCTCATTAAAAGGACCCATGTCTTTAACTCGGACATCCATACACCAAGTCTAAAATGGTTAGTGGTCTTCACAGCAATGCAAAGAGGACATTATCCCTCCCTCAGTTTTACAACATTTATTGCACAATTCTCAAATAACCAACCTTCAATAGACATGACTTTACACCAGTCCTACCCACTTTCCTCTTGGTACTTTGCCAGTGAACATATTGTTTGTTTGGACTGAGTTGGAACAAGTACAACCTATTCCAAGTGGGACAGAGTGCAGGTTACACTTGTCTGCATGCTTTCTGTTTGCAATCAGGACCAGAGGCACTACCAGCTGCTGATCACGCCTTTAAGTCTGCTTTAACATGAGTTTTTATTATGGGTAAAATAGTAAAGTGGACATTTTTCTATGAAAAAAGGCCTATTTCCCTAAAAGACTGACTTTGCAACCATGATAGATTAATAATGAAGGAAATCATGCTCTAAATTGTTTGAGAAATCAATATGGTTGTCAATTTAGCTGTAAAAATTATGTCTGAATAATTGCTGGAGCACGTTCACCTTAAAATGAATTAAATTTAGTTCCTCCAAATCTCCTCCTCTAGTCCATGGGCTTTTATCATAAATGTTGTGCTTCTATAGATCTCTTTTAATTATGTTTCTCACCAGTCAGTATGCATGAAATAGCACTCATTAAGGTTATCCTCCTTGCAATTTATGCAGTGGCTCTGCTTATTCCATACCATTTCCAAAACCACCGAGGCTAGAAGTGAAGGGGTTTATATTTATCTCATTTATTTTAAGTAAATACATATCTTTATTTAAAGATTCAATGGTAATGGTTTATTGATCCTCTAATGACACATGTGACATCTATCTGTGAGAGGTGAAGAGCATTAAGAAGAGAAGAAGATAAGTCTTAAGGGGCGGCAGGGAAGGAGAAAAGAGACGGTGTAAAATAAAAGGGGTGGAGAGGGGAAACAGAGAGATGAGGGGTGAGGGATAATCCCTTATTGTGACCAGGGGTGATGTTGAGTGGAAAAGGATTATAGAATGTACTGAATGGCACCTGCTTCACTCCAAGTATTTCAGGAGCACACAGGCAGTGATTTATTCTTTTATTCCTGACAATATAGCAATGATTTTCCTATTTTTTCCCCCCATTAATCTTTAGAGTCCTAAATTATAATAATCATTTGTGTCTGTGTGCATTTCCTTATGTGCAAATAGCAGTAATTCCCTTGCCCACTGTTTTTCAGGAACTTTTCATAAGATAATTTACAGTACAGCATATAGTTAGAGTTTTTAAGTTACACATATAGAACAAAATTGCACCTAGAGACTGTGCCCAATTTTTCATAGCATATAAGTACGTTCTTGTTTCTCTAAAAAAAACTGTGGTCAACAGCTTACAAAGTGTTTCATTGGTGTGATCCTGTAACTATTATTTATTAATGAAGCAGAAGTAACAGAAATGTACTTGTTTTAGGTTTTTTAATTTATGGTCCTTAATTTAGCTTAGTACAATTAGGCTATATATTAAAAACCCGAATAATGCTTGTGAAAGCATTGAAGATATAGTGGAGGATTTTTATCCTCTTTATATATATATATATATATATATATATATATATATATATGCATGGAGATGATCACGGTCGGCCTTATGTAAACATATGATTGACAATTAGGAGGACCACTTATTTTGATGATCCACCCGGAAAAAGAACATCCTCCCCTATACAAATTTCCCCAATGATAAAACATTTAGCCCGCAAAGGATGAGCTTTCCTTCACTGTCTCTGGGATTTAAATCAACTCCTCACACTCAGTTGGTTAACGTTTATATAGTTACACTCCGGCAGGGGAGTCTTCTTCTCCTTTGTTGTTGTCACACTTTCCCTAATCCTTATCTAAAGTATAAAGGAAGATTTGACTTCCATTATTATGCCATGTAAGATCTTCAGTGCATTTGTCTATTCCTCCATTATGCATTCTTTCTCGCCAGTGCATGCAGTTAATATTTCCCAGGGAGTGTATGCTTCAGTGTTGCCTTTGGACAAGCTCTCACCAATGTGGATATGAATGAGCAGACTCTCTCTTTGCAAAACCTCTAGGTGCTGATTACTTCACGTCAAGATAATTTCCTCGTCAAGCTTGTGAGAATAAGACCTGAAAGCTTTCCCTTTATACAAATCAAACCATGCCTATTTTTTCTCTTTTTTTTCTGTCCTTTTTCGTCCCTCTTGTCTCGTACATCCTTGCATGTTAATGAGATAAATATTGCTGTATCTCCTTTTTTGTGTTTGTCCCTCCCATACATCTCTATGGCTTTGTTGAGTAATGCAAAGCTGCCTGTATTGAAAAGAATAAATTATTGATTAGAAAAAGAATGATTCCTCCCTACTGCAGTCTTAGAAGTCTAGAATGTACCACCCTACCAACCCCCTTAATACCTCATGAATTAAAAATAAAAAGAAACAAGAAAAAGCAAAAACAAAGAAAACACATTTAATATCGCTTAGCTTTTTTTTTTTTTTTTTTTTTTATATATACCTCCAGTGCCCCGTTATAGCTTGTTTTTCTAATTGATTCATCATATGTAATGATAAGGGTGTTGGGATCCAGACAAAGGGAGGATCTCCCAGCTGGTCAGTTGCCTAATGTTATTCATACATTAATGGTTTTTGACTCATTCAAAGGTCTGTGATATAGTTTTATAATATATATATATATATTTTTTAAGCCTTGCTTGTTTAATCTGACATCTTCTAGTGCTGATATTGTCTTTTCTCTTTTTAAAAAGCATATCCCATTAATCAAATGATCATTATTGTCATATATGCACAGGAAAGGTACCAATTTCTTTTTTGCTTTTAAAGTGACATGCTTGCAACCCTGGTTGAATCTCAGAGTTATAAAATGGGAGGGATTCATCATCCAATGTTAAATTCCAGCATGTTCAAGTGTCTTTTTGCTGTTTTGCTCTTTCATACTCACATGTAGCACAAATGAAACACACTTTGACTTTTATACCCAGAGCATTTTATTATGCATTTGACAATTAATCTGATTCACAAAGTACAAACAATGAATTAATGTTGTGCCTGCTGTACTGAGCAGTATTTACATGTATTTAAGGCTGAGTTTTTTTACCCCTGCATTTTGATTAAAGTGATTTCTACTCCCCGTGCTGTAGCTTTGGGCTATCTAACTATAGCACAATAAACATTCTTTAGATTCATTGCACTGAGATGTAAAGGGATGGGCTGGAGTGGGATCTCATTGTATAAAAGCCTTAGATAAACATGCCAATTTTTCTTGATACTTACTGTAACCCATAGCATGAGGGTTTGGCTCTCAATCTGAATGCTGCTTAAATACTTTTAAATATTGATTATTACAATTATGTATTTTTTTGTATCAATACCATTTTTATGTATATTTAT